AGGACAGCTCCCAAGAGTTCCAGTCTGGGAACAGTCTGACTCTTCAAAGGAGAGACTCTAGTCTTTGAGGCCAATAGCACAAGCTCTTTATCACAATTCTCCAAATATACTACAGCTGCATAGGCCTTCAATGAAGCATCACAGAACCCTATCAATCTGGGTTTACTACTTAAATTACTAGTAGTGCAGTAACGTGCCAGTCTCAATGGCTGGGCTTCAAGGCCTGTAAGGAGTTGCTTCCACTTAAGCAATAGTGGCTCAGGCAAAGAATCATCCCATCCAATCTTATGATTACACAAGCCTTGAAAAAGCATCTTAAAATTGACTATAACAGGAGAGATGAGCCCCATAGGATCATATATCTTACTAATCACACTGACTAGCTTACGCTTAGTGGGCTCAAGTCTCTTTGCTTCATGAAAAATAAGAGTAAGATCAATGATGATCTCATCAGCAATAGGATCCCACAGGACACCCAGAACTTTCTGCTCACTTCCCAGAGCAGAGTTAACTCTCCCTAAAGTACTCTGAGCATAAGTCTCATGCTCATCTCCTTCAAAAACAATACCTTGCTCTGCTGAGTCAATTAGACTCTGTACTTCTGCATTATTGCTTAAAAACTTTCTTAAATTAAATCCTCCTTTAGCAAATATATCTTTTGAATCTTTATAAAGAGAAAATGCTTCAGAAACATTATCAACACCAGTTATGACATCATCCACATAAATAGAGTTTTTAATCTTCTGAATTAGATCTGGATACCTCGACTCAAAGGTGCTTAAGTGCTGAGCAATGGTGGCATTGAGAAGGTATGGGCTTGGAGCTACACCAAACACAACACGTGTGAACTTATAAATTTGAAGCTCAAGATTCTCACAAAAAACATCTTTGTACCACAGAAAACGCAAAACATCCTGATCTACATCTGCCACCTGAATCATAAGAAAGGCTTTCTCTATATCAGCCACAATAGCAATAGGCCACATCCTAAATCTCAAAAGAATATCAAAAACCTTTTGATGCAATGAAGGTCCTATATGGAGGCAATTATTCAATGATGGACCGTTAGTCTTAGCAGAGGCATCGTATACAATTCTTAATTTTGTAGTAGACTTATCCTGTCTCAACACACAATGATGCGGTAAATAGTGTATACGAGCCACACTGCATTCTTCAGAGTTCTCAACAGGGACAATAATTCCCAAGGCTAGTTGCTCTCTAATGATATCATCATATTTCTTCAATAACTCAGGAGAGCTCTTCAGGCGCTTAAACAAACCACTCAATCGACGTAAACAAAGCTGATAGTTATCAGCAAGAGAAATGCAAGAGTCTTTCCAAGGCAGGGAAACAACATACTTACCATTAGCAAACTTCACATGATCACCAAATTGAGTTTGCACTAAATTCTCATCTTCCAAAATTCCTAAAGATTCTAGCTCCCAAAATGAACGTAATCTATGTTCTAGGCTCATGTCTTCATGGACACCATCAACCCTTAAAACATGGGTGACCATAGTAGCACTCCGTGCACTAGACTGTTTCACAGCAGCAGTACCAGATAAAATCCAGCCAAAGCATGAGTTTAGAGCAACAGGCCCATTGTTACTCTTCATTATCTCACCTGTAAGTAGAGACCAATACTGGTCAGATCCAATTAAGATGTCTGGCTTTATCTGCTGGCAATGATCCAATGGAATAGAAAAGTCCAAATTATTCAGATGAGGATACTTATTCAAATCTATGGCTTCATACGTCAAAGGCTCACAAATGTGGCTAACTGTGAGCAGCTTAAGCTCCATATGAGCATTATTTTTAAGCTCAAGACCCAGTTTTACAACATGGCATTCAGTACGACACTCCTTTCTAGACCCAAAGGTCATTATAGAAACTGATTTAGTGCCCAGAGATGGCAATCCCAACCTCTGGCATGCACTTCGAGTAATATATGAGCACTGGCTCCCACTGTCCAATAGGATATATAAAGACATTCTATTACCAGGCTCATTTAGATTGAAGGCAAAGACGCGTGCCACTTGCAAGAGAGTAGACTCTCTAGAACTAGTATAGAATGTGGCACCCGTATTTGATCCTTCAAATGGAGGGGTCTCTGGATTAAGCCCCTTAGACAAATGTGGGGAAGCACTATCTCTAACAGTAGGAGGCCTCTGGCCTGATTTAGGCTTTGAGTTCCTCATACATACACTAGAGTGATGTCTCCCTCTACAAGTAGCACAGCTCATTGAAGAGCGACAATGCTTACTAATGTGACCTGGGCGGAGGCAAACAAAGCATCTGCCCTGCTCTCTAATTATTCGCTTTCTCTCATCAACTCCAGTGACCTTAGTACACTGGGCAGGTGTGTGGTCCTCTTGCTGGCAAAAGCAGCAACCACTCTGGCTACCTCCAGTAAAAGTGGCAGTAGTGGGAAAATCCCTTCCACGCTTTGGTGTAAAACCACTCTGTTTAGTCTTAGGCAGGGAGGCCCTCTCTCTAGCTTCTACCTCTGCTAATAGCACCTCCAGTATCCTTGTCATGTTCCAATCATCTGCTGGAACCTTTCGGGCAATCGCAAGTCTGAGCTCAGATGGAAGTTTCTTCATGAACACAGGAGCCAGCAATGCTCCATAAGAGTCCACAGGTACTCCCAATGCAGATAGACTCCTAATTGTAGACTCAGTCTTGTCATACAGGCGACGAAGCTCGAAAATATGATGATCAGAAGAAACTGCATCAAGGCTCATCAGTACGTCCATATGAGCTGCAGTAATCCTCTCCTTGCTGCCAAACCTCTTCTCCAATAAGTCAATCGCCGTAGAATAGTTGACATCAGTAAGGGCAAGGCCTGCAATAGTTTCCTTGGCTTTCCCTTCCAATAAAGACTGCAAATAAGAAAATTTATCAATGGTTGCCAAGCTGGGGTTATCATGAATGGCCGATTTGAAGGAATCCCAAAATGAGGTCCATGCAACTAGACTCC